ACCTGAAGACTTTTAAAACAACCAGGATCCTGATAAATGGGAACATGAAACCTGTGCATGGGTCACAGACCTTAGAAATTTTGAAAAACGACTTCAAGTCCTACTTTATCTATTCTTTTAAATATACGGGTGGTCACAAGTAGATGGAGAGAACTCATCGATCTCTATAGGTAAGAGCTCCAGGGTATACCCATAAGTGGCTTCAGAAGCAAACTCGGTCTCCCAGACCTACTAATGCCGAAAATGGACAACCAAGATATTCCATTACGAAACATTTTATGCATACGGGGCATAAAATTGATACGTTTACATTGTTGGGTCATGCACCAAATTCTTCGGAAGCCCTAGTGACAGTACTGGTGAATATCGAGTAGATATTTAACGTCCCCATTTACTCAAACCAGTTTCGTTTTCTTTGGATGCGGCAGTCCATGCTGTGACTTAAGCGCTTAATAGTTGACACAAGAGTGGGTTCATGCGATCAGAAATACTGACGTACATAATATAAACCTTTACTTCTAGACATTTTTTGCCGGGTTAACAGAAGCCAGCACTGATCTAGATGATTGAACTGCTGCTCCATTAGCCCGCCACATTGGTTTGTCTGCAGGTCGACCAGTAAATCTTCAACGTTCCAATTTGTCTTTTATCATTAGTCACATTGAAGCTGAATTTTTTATTAAGTGCCCTCCGAGTTCTGGAGAGTTGTCTTCTGGATAGAAAGGTGATTCTACATAGCATAATTGAAACCCGGCATTCACGAAACTTGAACTATCTACTCGCTATAGAAAACTGCATGTTGAGATTCTTTGGTGAATTTTGTTTGAATACCAAGGTTGACGTGCGGCTGAATTCTGTTTTAGCAGGGTTAACTCTTACTGCCATCTTGGCCTTAAATGTAGTCTCTTCGTTTTACTTACATCCATTTTATCACTTTATAACGGATTTTTGTATTTCACATAAATAACTTGAAAATCCCCATTCAGTCATATAAAAGAATAAATTCCTAGAGAAAGTATGTATGTAATCAGATTGTCCAAAATGTGCTGCACAAATACATTATGCGATACAGATAAATTGATTTTACTGTTTTACTTGCATATGGTTACTCTTTAAATGTTTGTTCATGACATTTAACTTCGCTTACTCGCACCTTTGTCTCCTGCGTCAATATTACCTCAATTCTTCTTTAGGCCCCTGTCTTGCAAAATTACACCGCCATTACCCTGCATGTCAAGACAGTCTGCAAAACCGACTGGAGTTAAATGCATCTGTTTTGCGGGTCTCAGTTTCTTCCGGTTTGTTTCTTTTCAAAATTTATCTTCACACACCTAGGGAGCAGTCTAAACTGGGGGACTTCGAAAGTACACTGGTCATCTGCATCACACTAGCTGCCATCTTTCCAGTAATCTTTCTATTCATTTTCTTTGAGTTTTTGTGTTTTTCGAGTGGTCTCCGTTCTTCCTATCTTAAAAATATTTATTTTACCCTATCTTATATTAATTGTAACTGCTCTTCCTCCTCTGCTAGTTTTGTTCTCCTAATAAGTTCCATTTTTGCTCGCCACTTATGGTGAAGCCCTAACCGTCTGCCATACTAGCGACATTTCCTACGAGCACATCACAAAATGAATCAGTAACTGCCCACCTGATGCATTCAATGGAGTTACGTAGGGTAGATCGATAGACATTTTGTACAAATACACATGAAGCATCTAGAGCCCTCTTACAAAATGAAGGGACGATAACCAAAGGATCTATGGTCACAATAATATTGGATTCTGGGTGATAATAATCTTGAGGTCTACTGGGGATTCCAGGCACACGGGAGTCCAGTAGGCATCGCAAACTTTTGAATACAAGCAGACAGCAAACACACTGATTAGAAATAGGATGTCACTAAAATTACATTCCTCCTGCTGTCAGTCGATAGTGGCCACTTCATATTTGGTGGATTATCTCGTCGTCCAAATATTTTATCGGTTGATAATGCAACACGAATGCTACTATTAAAGATCAGTAGAAGTTACATAGAGTGCAGGAGTTGGTTGGTGCTAGATTCCCATCACTGTTCCGTAAGACTGTACATAGGACTGAAACAAAGAACAATATAAGCGGCATCAGTGAGACGGCCGAATCTAATGTGAAGGGCAAAATATTTTCTGAACACCTCCGTAATTTTCTTCCCACTCAGTACCACACTAACTGTGGTCGACAATGCAGTATTCCTTAGACTTCCTCCCAAACTGAAGATGGGTATATAACCAGGGCCCTGTGAACCGTGGCTGATGCCCTTCCTGGCTGATGTAATGTGTTTGTAGTTTTGGAGACTTTTAATATTTTGGCATTATGGACTATGCTGTTAGGGAGTTAGAAAAATGTATTCATAAACCCTATCTTCAGAGACGAGAAATCTTAGGTGGTGCCAAATTACTGGCATGCTAGTGTGAGAGGCATAATCCCGGAAGGTACTAGAGAGAATCATTAGGAACTCGTTGTTAACTCACATAGAGAAAAGTAGTATACACAGAGGAACGCGATAGACTCACACTAAGACAATTTCGATAAGAAAACTTACTGTTAGACAGGAAAATGTGCGTGTAATCTAGGAGATGACAACCTGCCGACGGTCATAGTTTTCAATAGTCTCAGTAAATTATTCTGCGAGTTGTCCCACTTTGGTGTCTTGTCACTAAACCAAGGGGGTTTGGAACAGATGACCACCTTGTGATGGGTTCAGGACTACCTACCAACAAGTTATAAGGGAAAGTGGTGTTCCCTCATGGTGTACAACTGTATGGAGTGAGATGGCATGGTGTATTACTGTAGACCCTTTGTTATTATTGTCGTCTATAAGGGGACTATCAACAGTTCGTACCTCATCTCCATTAATATTCATAGAAAATACTGAGACCTTTAAGACTGCAGAAAATAACAGGACGAATCCTCAAGGTGGGTTGAACGAGTTAGAGTGGTTGTCTAACCAATAAGGTCTGTGAATTAGTTCCAGAAAAAGTGCAGTACTGAACACAAACCACTGGTCCTGAACGCCGTGCTTCATAGAAGAAAACAAATTAGCTGATTTTAAAGCCAATGCCCTCTCAATCCTGCCAGTTCTTCGAAGAAATCTTACCCTACGATGAATCCATATTTAAGGTCCCCTACTCAGTATATATTACACCTCATCTAGAATAAAAGAAACAAAAGTCTACCGAATGTATCAAGAAGAAGGTAAAGATGCTGGAAGTAGCACAAAGACCAGGCATTAAGTTAGCCAGTTGCATCTCACTCCTTCCCGATGAAAATCTAGGGCATATAAAACTCTTAAGAAATAGTATCTGGTGAAAAAGTTCATATTTATATATATATATGATTCATAAAGAAGTTATTATCACATCGAAGAAGTGGAAATGAACTAATTTTGGCTTGTCGTATAATAAAGAAAGATTTGGGCACTCAGCATCCTCAATTTTCCTCTTCTTTTAGGAGACCCCTGAGAAATCAACATTTAAAGCTTTTGAAATCGTTGTCAAACAAAACACAGAGGAAGTTCGTATTCTTATAATTATTATTATTGTTCCCTTGGGTTCCTAGTGGAACATAGGGCTTCAACTGCACGCCTCCACTTGCTTCTGTCTTCTGCTGTACTTTTCACCTGCATCCATGTTAGTTCATACTGTTTCAACTCCTCTTCACACGATCTCCTCCATGTCACCCTTGGACGTCCCACTCACCGCTTCCCTTTCGGGTTCCACTCGAGCGTTGGCCTGACGCGCGATGTCACCCAACGGCCTCCTCAGCCAGTGAGTGTCCAATCCATCTCCACTTTCTCCTGCATATTTGTTGGGCGATTGGTTCTTGTTTTGTTTGTTCCCATAGTTTCTTGTTGGTGACTCTTTCCGGCCATCTGATCTTCAGTATAGAACGAAGACAGTTGTTGATAAAGGTCTGCAACAGGCTGTTGGAAATATTCTTTGTGACCCGCCAAGTTTCTGATCCATCCGTATAGAAGAAGTGACTGACTTGACGTTTGTATTGAAAATCCGAATCATTTTGTTGTTGATGCAGGCTGAGTGACGAAGATTTCCAGATTGGTTTCAGGTTGATGAATGTGTTTCTCGCCTTCCCGATTCTCGATTTGACATCCTCGTCCGTTGCTGCTGTAGTTGAGACAATGCTCCCCCTAGATAAGTGAATGAAGTAACCTCTTTCAAATCCCTCCCGTTGATGGTGATTGGCACTGGATGTTGCTGCTGTTGTTGTTGTTGGTTGGTTATTTTCATAACCTCCGTCTTGTCTATGTTCACCTGGAGTCCTGTCTTCTCTGGCTGCTTCTTCGACCAGTTTGTCGGTTTTCGCTTGTAAGTCTTCGATTTTGTGTGACATCAAACATAAATCATCCACGAAATCCAGGTCTTCTATGTTCTTCACGTCGGTCAGGACAGGATATCCCTGTCTTCTCGTTTCCCACTGTCTGAAGCATAATCCAGTCCACCACAATTAGGAATATCATTGGTGATAATAAGCACCCTTGTCTGACTCCTGTGTTTACTCCAAACGCTTCACTGAGTTTTCCGTTGTGGATCACTTGACATGTGCCGTTGTCGTACAGCTATTGAATAAGGTTGATGAATATTTGGGGTACGCCGTAGTACTCGAGTAGTTTCCAAATTACTTCGTGGTCAACGCTGTCGAATGCCTTCTCAAAGTCTATGAAGGAAGTTGAGGTAGAGGTTTGATTGCCATTGCATGCTTTGTTCGATGATGATGCGTAGAGTTGCAATTTGGTCAGAACATGATTTGCCTTTCCTGAATCCAGCTTGTTCTGGTCGGAGTTCTGTATTCAGTGCGTCCTTTATCCTCTCCAGGATGATGCGACTCAGAATTTTATTTGGCGTCGACAGGAGTTCTTATCATTATACGATCAAGTAAATTTGATTCTAGCCTGCAAAAGTAAATTTTGCGAAAAAAACCAGTCTGCATCTTTTTTGAATCGGATGTTAATCAACACGTCAAAATGAAAAACTTGAAAGGTGATAAACAAGTGCTTTTTCGCGTTTTAAATGACAGGCATTTCGCGCCTAAATAAAATTATGTCACACAATTTCGTACGTAAGAAGCATGAATTGCATACCTCAAAGAGTCATTTTGTCCATTATCCTATGTCTCGGAACTATCAACATGTTGGCTCAAAGAGTCAATTTAAGCATAGCCATACTGTGTATGACAAACCATACGTATATCCGTAATGAAAACAAAGAAAATAATGTAAATGTGACCGTTTCTGCACCATTTCAATGCATTCAAGAAAATTTTAATGGAACAGATGTAAGTTTCCGTGGTTTTATCCTGCAATACTTTGTATGCTTCGATGCAAAACCCGAATCGAATTAACACATTTACAAAAATGTAATACAGATTCAGATTTATTGGTTGAGGATAGAAGGCTTGGAGCCTATGTTAATCCTTTTCTAGTAAATTTCTGTGGTTGTCCAAACCCTTCTTGAACGAATCAACTGAGGTTGCAGACACCACTTCTTCTGGGAGTCGGTTCCAAAAGTTTATGACTCGGTCTGAGAACCAGTACTCAACAGCAATATGATTTCTTCTTGGCTTTTGAACTCTCTTGTTATGTTCTCTAAGGTTTTACAACCTGCTGGGAAGCAAAAGAGAGAATAGCCCAGGCCCGTAGTCTTTATTTAAAATTTTAAACGTTGTGATTAAATTTCCTCTCTGCCTACGGTATGACAGGGAGAAGATTTAAACTGTTTAGTCTTTCCTGGTATGATAAGTTAGTCATGCCATGAATACATTTTAATATGTATTATATTTTTGTAAGCTTGGGAATTCCCAAGCTTATTATAATGCTGAGTTAAATCTCTCTAGTTCTGAACTAACTCTGATGTTCTACAATGAGCAAATTCTGAAATTGCTCCGAAATGGTTTGATTATGCTCACAAATCAGAACTAAGTGTTGGTTTTCAGCATGACTGACACTAATTCAGCACCTTGTGCTTTTTCTAGGCCTTTCCAGAAGTAGATCAGAGCCTACTGGGTTTGCTTATTAGCGTTTTTCCGGCTCTCTTAGCCCAGATTCAGTACTGACTACCGTTACTTCAGAACAAAAAGACAGTTCAGCGCATAGTGGCAATTTACAGCTTTATTTCAGCACTAAAGGTATTATTAACTTCAAATTGTGTTTTCAAGGTTTTTTCGCATTATCAAGCTACCATTGCTCCTTTTAGGAACGACCAGCGTTATTTCTGTACATAGTGGGTTCATTTGAAGTAGATAAAATATTCGTTCACCATAAAAGGGAGTTTTTGACTCATAGGTTAGAATTAGTTTAGAATTATTGTAAGCTTGGGTCACTGTCCTTATCGTAGTAATTCACTTTAGCGCATTATTATAAGTGAGTGTTAGGGAAACTCGTTCACCAAATGACGTTTTAGAGGATTTGATTTCGATGGTTCGGCTGTTTTAATAAGTGGTCCTTTTTGATTTGATTTGTGGTTATCTCAGAGTACTTATTACAAGGTTTCATGGTATTAAAACCTATTAGACAACCGCAGGTACTCAGATAATAGCGCAACTGTCTATTAATTGTTTCCTCCAAGTTGAAGCATACTTTATTCATGCTACTCAGTATTAAATGTTTTAAGACTATTTATGCAGTCGGTTTTGTTGTGCCATTTATGAAAAAAAATGTTTCTTTAGTTATTTCATAGACTCGGAGAACTATTTTAGTCTAAAATTTCCTCTGCAAATAGGTTTCATTTAAAAATTTTAACTCAGGGATGCTAGTTCCCGACAGATAGAAAAAATGTAATCATGCCTTTATAAATACCTATATAATGTATGTTTATCGGACAGTTTAATTGTGTCTTAATTCTAAAAAGCAAAAGGCTTACGGTCATCTGTTTTGATGAAGTTACTAAAAGTCGGATATTTCTGTTTCATGCTATTGTTTTCCTCACTTCGTCTGTGAAGAATATAGTGGAACATCGGAATTCTAATCATCTGGGCATAATTTCAACGCACATCCTTCTGTAAAACAAGCAAAAGGCTGGATTAATTCCTTGTCGTCTATTTCGGTAAATTAAGTACCGCTAGTTGAATTTAAAGTACTCTTTCACAACAAGATGTAGTTGAACAAAGCAAGAACTACAGTTTCAGCAGAATAAAATGGTACCATCTGTTGTTTCGTCGCCTTCTCGTCATCTGCTTACAGGCCAAAGACATTGTTAAATGTATCTACAAAAACAATATTAACATACTTGCACAGAGTTCATTTTAAACAAAAAGCAGTCGATCAGGATATGCACACAGTAATAATATATACATATATATATATATATGCAATATTAAACACAATTCCAAACAACAATAATAATCATACACAATGAAAACTTTTCAACATCTCGCATTCGGATGAGAAGTATCTAGTTACCAGGACAAAGAAAGACTGATAACCGCTTCTTTCTGAACACATAAATCAGGTTTCAGGCGCTTGATGGAAATGGCTTCAGCAAACTTAAGGAGAATTGAGCTCTTTCGCTTATTGGTAATTTTGAACGACTTTTCGAAGTCCACCTCATGACCCGTGTCGAGATGTCTGGTGATGGAATTGTTTAAAGCATTTGTTCCATTTAGACGTAAGCTTTTTGGTACATGTTCAGAAAATCGTAGATATGCCGTTCTTTCTGTTCTTCCAATGTAACTGCTCCAGCAGATACATGTAAATTTGTATATACAGTTGGAGTTAACATGAGAAGGATATCTATCGATTTTTGATTCCACCAAAGAGCAAGTTGCTCGATAGACGGGAACGAGGTTAGCTGCAGGATAGGCTATGGCTAGTGATGCGCCCAGCCTTCTGTTGATCATCGCTGCAATGTTTTCACCTTTATAATCAAGCTCAAAGTAGATTGGCTTTTTTCTTACTGTGATTTGTTTTTCATTTGTGACTTCAGATGTAGTTGATTTATTTCAGTAACATGTTCTCAATGCAAGTATTATAGTCTATGCAAAATTAATTTTATCAAATATTGTGTAGTATTGGAATTTCTTTCACAATGCACCGTTAATTATCGCTTTTAAATCTTTCTATAAGTTTTGGGAATGCTTTAGGTGCTTAGTTTCCTTAAGAAATATAAGCTTGATAAGAACATCATTATAAAACCAAGGGTTATTATTCCACCTATATGATAATGGGGATCTTGAGTGGAGTACGTGAAACAAGAGAATACCACTTCAAATGCATCTTTAATGCTCCTTCAAGTAACTTTTCAACTTCCTAATATTGGGCACTTTATTTTCTTTGTGCTGTTATTTTTGCAGTGGTTTTTGTACGACTGTCACTATCATTACCTTTATAATTGAAGCTTTCTATTAATCTTTGCCTATTTGCTCGATTATTTGAGGTTCAAATACATTGGGTCTTCCTCCTTTTTGGATTTTAGAATTTACAGTATGTCCATATCTATGTTTTCGGCTTGTATATTAAGTTCTAGTCCCTGTATGTCAGGGAAAGTCGTCCACTTCGTTGCTTACTGAGGCTGGTGTCCCTCAAGGCGCTGTCTTTTCTCCTTTTCTGCTTTATTTCTTCTTGTATGACTTGCCTCAATCTGATGAAATGAACTTTGTTAAGTATGCCGATGATCTAACTATTTCAATGTCTGTTAACTCCCAGCTAGACTGTACTAAGATGAACAGCTTTCTATCAGGAGTTAGCCAATGGTCTCCGTCTAATGGTTTTAAACTAAATCCTTCCAAATGTCAGACTGCTTATTTCCTATGACCGTTGCAAAATTGATGATAGTGATATAGAAATCAAGTTTGAGGTTAAGTATCTTGGATTAATTCTTTCTTCTGACCTATCCTGGTCTTCCCATATCTTAGAGATTTCTAAAATAATATTTCGTTGGACTTTCTATATGAAAAAGTTAAGGCACTCAGGCATAACTCAACCCCTCCTCTTACAGTTTGTCAGCTCGTGCATCTTACCTATTCTTCTTTACTGTTCACCCTTATTCTTTCCTGGATTGCTTAAAAAAGACTATGTCATACTTCGTAGAACTCTGAAGACTGTCAGTAGGGCGAGTGGTATCCCATTGGGCCATATCGTTGACATCGTCATTGATAGGCACTTGATGTCACGCAAGACTGTGAGCATCCTCTTTACCCGCAGCTCCAACTTCGTGTCTCCTCAGGTAAAACAAGAAGTCTTTTCAGAAGACTTTATGCACGTACGTCCAAGTATAAAAATTCCACTATACCATATTTAGCACGTACTTTATGTGATGAAAGTAGTGTTAGGCATGAACTAACTAACCTTCTTAGCACCACTAAATAAACCATTTCCTTCACCCTTAAAGCATCAAACTTTATTGTTATTGTATTTCTTATATTTATAATCCTCTCAAGTTTTTGTTTTTGTTTATTTTTTTCATAAGTGTGAACATCATTTAAACTGTGTTATAACTATTAATTTTGTATTTCCCCTCACCATACTATATCAACAGAACATTAGATTCAATAATCTGTAACATGCTAAGATTTTCAAACTGAATCGACAATACTGTTTGAAACAAACTCACTGTTATTATTATTATTACATTTAATATTCTCACTTCGTACTTCGAATATTTTTGACTTTATACCGTAAACGTGGACAAATTACTCTGGTTAATTTTGTTTTAATTTTATTTATATTTTGAGTAAATCAGATGCAATATTGTGACAAATGCTGAGAATTCCATTCTGTATTATAAGTACTGTCTTTTTGGAATAAAGTAGATTATTATTATTTTGAATGGGTCTTCAGCCGGCGTTGAAATTAACTTATTCAGTGTGGAATTTCACTAGTTCACCAGCCAGTATGAAAACGCTTTCATGTAGAAAGCTCCTAGATGATGCTCTTACAAATGATGAGTTTTGTACGAATGAAATATGTGGGATAGACTGGAACTCAAATAATTACACCAGATACAGAATTTTAATATAAGGTCACCACCAATATGGTAGTGAAAGTGAACTAATTCATCCTAGCCGCCCTTAGTATAAGAGATTTGGAAATTTTATTGATCACCTTTACTACGGATAGTTTGAACTCTTTGTAACATGTTCGCTGTTTGCTGCTTAGCTTCTGTATTCTCAATGAGGTCTGACATACATTCAGTATGATATTAAAAGAATTACATCAAAACCTGGGAGTACTGGACAGCTGTTTCATCCTAGTTTGGGACTCTTCAGCAGTACCCACCCACCGGGGTTCGAACCCAGGGCCTTCTGGTTACAAGATGAGCTCGTAGACTATTGAGCTGCTAGGACCAGAAGGTCCTGGGTTCGAACCCCGCAGTGTGGGTGCGTACTGATGAAGAGTCCCAAACTATGAAGAAACAGCTGTCCAGTACTCCTAGGTGGTTTTCCAGTGGTTCTCTAACTGATGTCAGCTCATGATGAAATCTTCTATCCAGTCAAAGAAAATCCCTACAAAACCAATACTTGAAAATTACATCAAAGTTTACAAAGTCGTCGGAAAATGTCTATAAGATTCTACCCTATATTTTCTTGAGTTTTAGGTTTATGACTTTTAGAGAACTCTAAATTCTTTGGTAGAGTAAAGCTACTTATCGATAAATCATGTAAATAATTATGAAAAAAATATGTAAAACTCTGTAAATTATTTTAATCATGTGTCATTTTGATTTTCAGACCATGACAGATGGCCCATTTGTTTGGGATCGGCCAAGCCGTGGTGTTCTCCTGGGAATTATTTTCTGGGGTTATTTTCTTGGTCAAATACCATCAGGTATTTTAATACAACGATTCAGTGTTCGTTGGGTGTTGTTTACATCTTTAATCCTGTTGAGTACATCGACATTCTTTGTTCCACTGGTGGCAACAAAGTCATTGTATTTATTCTATGCCTTTCGAATATTGACGGGGTTAGCATCAGTAAGTTTTGTAAATGTTTGCTGTTGTAAAATATTTTGTTTTTATTAGAACTTAGTAGTCATTCAAGTATTCTTGTGAATATCTGTTAGTCAAAGTAGCTGCACATTAATTTTTGGTTTAGCACTAAAACTATGTTGTAATCAAATTTTCAGCAGACTTTGTAATGCTCCTGGTTTTGAATTAAACTCATAGTAAAACGTTAAGTTACATGATTTTCATCATGAGCTGACATTAGTTAGAGAACCATTGGAAAAGCTGGGAGTACTGGACAACTGTTTCGTCCTAGTTTTCGACTCTTCAGTAGTACGCATCCACCGGGGTTCGAACCCAGGACCTTCTGGTTACAAGGCGAGCTCGTATACCAATAAGCCACTGGGACCCGATCCAATGGCCCATGAATTCTAATTTCTGCCAATTCACGACATAGCGCGACCCATAGCAAATGTCTTCGGTGAGTATTTGTCCTCACACCCGACCTGCTGCACCTTATACGAGCTCGCCTTGTGACTAGAAGGTCCTGGGTTTGAATCCCGGTAGGTGCGTACTGATGAAGAGCCCCAAACTAGGACGAAATAGCTGTCCAGTACTCCCAGGTTTTCCAATGGTTCTCTAACTAATGTCAGCTCATGATGAAAATCCTGTAACCAATCAAATCCCTACAAACCAACACTTGTAAACGTTAAGTGATTTGAGTTCTAGGTTACGGGAGATAAAAATTCCCAGGGAAACTGGGAAGAAAGATGACACCAGATTTAGATGTGTTAGAAAGATTTACAGAATATCAGTTAGAATAAAGATTGACTATTTCTGTTGTTATTCGCGTTAAATTCCACTATGTTTACTATCATTACTTATTTGATGAACACTGGGATTCTGTATTCCCTATGCAAGTCTAAGGGTAAAATCAATTATTATGGCTTGCAAATGTCCTGAAGGTGTACAACTGTCTGAATTCCCAGTGTTTTTCAAATATTCGTGTAGATAAGCCAATGAAGCCAAATCCAAATATTGCAAATACAGATACCAGGGGACTGATGCATACCTCAGTGTTTTTCTTTCTAGGAAACGCCTCATGTAGAAACTATTCAATAAACGAAGCAGTGAGATAAAAATCATATTCATGCTAGAACACTGACTTGGTGTGTTAGTTAAAGTGGTTGAAGCTAAGTAATTAAATAGCCTTGGTGCCTTTTCAGATGACTTCCATTACCAAAATCATGTTGTCCTAAGGGGATTTATTATTATTATTATTGTTCCCTTGGGTTCCTAGTGGAACATAGGGCTTCAACTGCACGTCTCCAATTGCTTCTGTCTTGTGCTGTACTTTTCACTTGCGTCCATGTTATTCCATACTGTTTCATCTCCTCCTCACACGATCTCCTCCATGTCACCCTTGGACGTCCCACTCGTCGCTTCCCTTTCGGGTTCCACTCGAGGGCTTGACGCGCGATGTCACTCAACGGCCTCCTCAGTGAGTGTCCAATCCATCTCCACTTCCTCCTGCATATTTGTTGGGCGATTGGTTCCTGTTTCGTTTGTTCCCATAGCTTCTTGTTGGTGATTCTTTCTGGCCATCTAATCTTCAGTATGGAGCGAAGACAGTTGTTGATAAAGGTCTGCAACAGGCTGTTGAAAATATTCTTGGTGACCCGCCAAGTTTCTGATCCGTAAAGCAAAATTGACTTGACGTTTGTGTTGAAAATCCGAATTTTGTTGTTGATGCTGATTGACAGCGGAAGATTTCCAGATTGGTTTCAGGTTGATGAATGTGTTTCTCGCCTTCCCGATTCTCGATTTGACATCCTCGTCCGTTCCTCCTGTGGTTGAGACAATGCTCCACAGATAAGTGAAATAAGTAACCTCTTTCAAATCCCTCCCGTTGATGGTGATTGGCACTGGATGTTGCTGCTGTTGTTGTTGTTGGTTGGTTATTTTCATAACCTCCGTCTTGTCTATGTTCACCTGGAGTCCTGTCTTTACCGGCTGCTTCTTCGACCAGTTTGTCGGTTTTTGCTTGTAAGTCTTCGATTTTGTGTGACATCAAACATAAATCATCCGCAAAATCCAGGTCTTCTAGGTTCTTCACGTCGGTCCAGGATATCCCTGTCTTCTCGTTTCCCACTGTCTAACGCATAATCCAGTCCACCACAATTAGGAATATCATTGGTGATAATAAGCACCCTTGTCTGACTCCTGTGTTTACTCCAAACGCTTCACTGAGTTTTCCGTTGTGGATCACTTGACATGTGCCGTTGTCGTACAGTTGTTGAATAAGGTTGATGAATATTTGGGGTACTCCGTGGTACTCGAGTAGTTTCCAAATTACTTCGCGGTCAACGCTGTCGAAGGCCTTCTCAAAGTCTATAAAGTTGAGGTAGAGATTTGATTGCCATTCCATGCTTTGTTCGATGATAATGCGTAGAGTTGCAATTTGGTCAGAACATGATTTGCCTTTCCTGAATCCAGCTTGTTCTGGTCGGAGTTCTGTATCCAGCGCGTCCTTGATTCTCTCCAGGATGATGCGACTCAGGATTTTACTTGGCGTCGACAGCAGCATGATTCCTCGCCAGTTCTTGCAGAGTCCCAGGTCGCCCTTCTTTGGTAGTTTCACCAGGTAACCTTTCCTCCAGTCAGTAGGCACCTTTCCCTCTTTCCAGATCTTTTGCAATAATGGAGTCAGCATATCTGCCGTCGTTTCTGGGTCCGCTTTCAGTGCTTCCGGGGGTATTCCATCTGGTCCAGCTGCTTTTCCAGCTTTCAGAAGCTTGATTGCATTCATGACTTCAGTTTTCGTTGGAGGATTGGTGTCAACTTGCAGTTGTGTACGTGCTGTTGTTGGTATTACTGGACGGGTTGTAGGTGGTGGTCGATTCAAGAGTCCTTTGAAGTGGTCCGCCCATTGTTTAATCTGTCTTTCTTCTTTGGTAATTGGGTTCCCTTGGCTGTCTTTTATAGGTTTCACTTGTGTTGATCTCTTCCCGGATAGAGACTTGGTTATCTGATATAGTGTCCTCAGGTCCCTTTTGCCTGCTACCTTCTCAGCTTCAGTAGCCAGGTTGTCGTAGAATTGTCTTTTGTCCTTCCTGGCACTCTTCTTCACTTCTTTGTCCAGTGCTGTGTAAGTTGAGTTCAGCGTCTCTTTCTCTTGTCCATCTTTGCATTGAATCATTTTTTCTTTCACCTTTCTCCTCTCCTCTATTAGTTTCCAAGTGTCTGTTGAGAGCCATTCCTTATCTTGTTTCTTCTTTCTTCCTAAAACCGTTGAGCACGTTTCGTTGAAAATTACCTTCAGAGAGTTCCAATGGTCTTCCACGGATGATTCCTCGGTGGTGCTACGTAGTGTTTCCTGCTTTGCTCTGACAGTTGCAGTGAAAATGTCCTGTGTGATTGTGTCCTTCAGTTTGTGAGTGTTGAACTTGCATTGTGGCCTATCCCCAGGTATCCTCGAGGCTTTCAGCTTCACCTTGAAAGTCCCTTGTACTAGATAGTGGTCTGAACCCACATCTGCTCCTCTCCTCGATCTTGTGTCCAGTAGGCTCCGTCTCCGCTTCCTTGAGATTGAAATGAAGTCTATCTGGTTTTTGGTGTGTCCATCTGGTGAAATCCATGTTGCCTTGTGTATATCCCTGTGTTTGAACACACTGCCACCAATCACCAAATCATTGAAGGCGCAGAAGTCTGAGAAGAGTTCGCCATTTTCGTTCATTTCACCGAGGGCCTCACGACCCATGGTGAGTTCTCTTCCTGTATTGTCTCCTCCCAGTTTCGCATTCATGTCGCCCATCAGGATTTTGATATCGCTCTTTGGGACGTTGTCCATTACTGTTTGTAGTTGACTGTAGAAGTCCTCCTTCTTCTCATGTTCTGAGGCGTTTGTAGGCGCGTAGCACTGAATGATTGTAACCTTTTTTCCTTTTGAGTTGAACCTGGCTGTCATTATCCTGGAGGAGATTGGTTCCCACTGCATGAGAGCTTTAGCCGCTGTTGGTGACATCATGATGGCTACTCCCTCGGTGTGCTCGTGATTGTCCTCTGGGTGGCCGGAGTAGATTATTGTCTCTCCAGTTGATAGTTGGCTCCTTCCACATCCGTTCCATCTGCTCTCGCAGATTCCCAACACTTCTATTTTATATCTCCTCATTTCTGCGGCTACCTGAGCAGCCTTCCCAGCTTCGTACATTGTACGAACATTCCACGTCCCCATCCTTATTTTCGCTTTCATCGAAAGAAGGCACATCGGCTGACTGGCTTCCCGAAGGCTTTCACCAGCCCGCGTCATTTCACTTCCCCGATTCCAGCGAAAAATAAGGTCACTATTTGTAATTTTAGAATTTTGAATATATTTGTGCGTTGAAGTTTTAGTAGCAATTTGGTTAAGTTTTGGGGGTGGAGTTGCTAGCACCACGCCCCAACCCTCCCTCTTTATCCGGGCTTGGGACCGGCTAGAATACTAGTGACCTAGTAATCTAGGCGAGGTTCCTAAGGGGATGACATAATGAATAAGTGTTTTCCGAAGCAAAATCTCACATTCTCTTTGAAACATTCCCTTTTATGTTTAAAAAATGTCTTTGAGAGCTTATAACTTCCTGAAGTCAGGTAATTAAGCGTGCTGATATTGTAAATGGTGTATAATTCTTTGATGTGAGAAGTTCAAATCAGCTGAAGTGCTTGTTTGCTTCTTACTACTTATATTCGACTTCACTCCTATACTGAAATTTGATACACTTTAATTTCATATACTTCCGTGTGAAGATTTGTGTTCAGAATGACACACTCAACTCAGTAGATTTTGAAAGCTTTAGTTGTGCTAACGGTCATCTCGATAATGGATAAAAAAAACAGTATTAGAATAAGACTTAACATTACTGTTTGGTAATTTTTGTCACTGAACCCCATATCTACTATTGAAGAGAAAGACGGAGATGAGAAAAGGTGGAAATAATATAAACAAAGGCTGTAAAGTGATGGGATATAGAAACACCTGAATAAGAGACAAGTGGAGAAACTTGGGGCTGGGGGAGGCGATAACGAATGCATCTATCTCACTTAGATTATTTTAAAGTTGTGCTAAGTGAAAATTCTAAGTATAGACCCCGTTGATTGCTTGTAACCATGCTAGGCTGTTTACGCTTCTCTAGGTAACTCATACTGGTATTCACTGATGTCATGTTGTAATCTACCCACTTAACATCACTTTCTTAAGAAGGTGATAGTTCAGCCTAGGAAATAAATGTTCCAGGCATCCCAGTCTACAAGGAATTATATTTTCTTTAACTGACTCCCCTTTCTTATGTGGAAATGTTTAATCGACTTCTACTTTGCTATTATGTTCTGCTAAACACAGTTAATATTGTGAATGCAGTGTTAGTTAAATATCCGTAATACATGTAGCTTTTGTGCCAACATTGGCTACGTAGTGGGACAGAGTTCAATGCTGAACAGTAAAGCCAGGTATATTGAGTGCTGTACAGTAGAGTGCAAGTCCTTAAATATCGAGTAAGCTTCTTGCATCCACGATGAGCTATCACCAGCCATTTATTCCACTTGTGTTCAGATGATTTACCCCATAAATGCGGATGAATGTCGATGCATTAGATGCAGTTTACACTTAAGAGCATGGAAAAGGCACAATGAACAAACACATTGTCGTTTAAAATGTTCAGGAGGCTTTGTATCATCAACAATACTTTTGTCTGACGGGACTACATCGTATGTACACTTTAGGCTATCTAAAATATCCTCCCCAAAATGATTAGGTCATATATAGTTAGATTTAGAGTTATCGCCATATGCATTTCTGTTATAAAACTGAATAATAATGAAGAAAGTAGACATTCTTGATGAGAAGTACTCTACTTAGACATCATATGATCTAGATAACAAAAGGCGTCAATATAAGTGTATAGATCCTTAAGTTAGGAGTTGTAGTTAACATGTATAGCTTTCAGCAAAAGATTTTCACCAAATCTTACAATCCGTGGAGTGAAATGCTGCCTTTAGGTAGAGAAATGCAGTTACTGCCTTACGTTTATAGATATGTCATGTTCCAGGTTCTGGAGGAAAGTAGACACCTGTAGGTCTGAAAGTAGTGGTTTTTGTTGGATGTCTTTACAGGTTGACAGTAAGTATCCCACGATCATGGTTCATGGGACTTTAAAAACTATATTCCTAAAACACAGAGGGACCTTTCTCCTCTCCATAAAACTGAAGCAACCCATTATTGAGGTCAATCAAAATGTCACATTTGACGCTCATACTAGAGCTTAGATTTCAGTCAGTTCAATAAAAAGTCTTACTTCACCATCCATCAGTACTTCTGGAGATGATTGACTAGGCTTGTTTCACGGTTTCCCATAGTTGAACAGCACATAAACGACTTGTTCGTATTAGATGGTTGGAGGCAATCGGCAGGAAGCCTTGGGCCTAGGTTTCGTGCTAGTTGGCACTCATCATCAAGGCGTATCTGCAACCTTGAAGGAACTCATGTCCCTTCTGAGATTCGAACCCGCGTCACCCAGTGCTGCAGTCAGAGACGTTACCACTGACCTATTCAGGCTCGCGATTGACCTCCTGTAGGGCTGTATTGGATATTTTTGATTGCACACTAGTCAGTAACTAGTGTAATGCGTCTAGTCCTATCTTTGCTGCAGACTGCCGATTGCTTCCAACCATCTAATACCAACAATTCACAGTGCACCGTAATGGCGAGCCACCTAGCATGGTGGCCACATTGCAAGCTTGACTGATAGAATTTAGTCTGCAGCGAAGATAGGACTAGACACATTACACTAGTTACTGACTAGTGTGCAATCAAAAATACATAAACGACTATCAACCTCTATCTAGCTGAATAAAGGCATTTTTCTCTAGAACTTGACGTTACCTGCATACCTACTAGGCCGGTAGAAATGACCTCTGGATTCTCAGATGCTCATAAGGTTATATGTGTGGTCTAATTACTCTGGTCAGGTGAAGTGAAGTGATTGATAACACTTGAACCCTCTGTGCATTCCTTAAAACCACAACAGGCATTCATGCTACGGGTTACTGAATTCTCGGCCACTGAGGCTTTTGAACAAAATGAAATAGAATACACTTAGTTCCTGAAAGCTCCGACATGTAGTTTAGAATGTGTCTTCAGGGGGCTAAATATTCTGTTTGTATTGAAAACTATCACTGGATTTCCATAGTGTAAAAATTTGTGTCTTCCCATTGTACCCTAAAGGATTATTACAGACCCCAGTGGAGACCTATCATTCGCGACGTATTCATATTGTTGGAATTTGTGCTAACTAAAGACCACCATAGTGTAAGTAGGATTTGGTTTTCTAATCCCTCCCTCACAGAGTAGGAAGGTTAAACGACTGGTTTGTCGGGGGGAAAACTTCATTGCCGTCTTCCTTTTTCCATCAACAGTACAACTAACTATTTTATGATGCCATTACTGAAATTTAATGTCTTCCTGAATCTTACTCATTTCAGGCAAGTTGGTTCCCTGGATTTTACCAGCTTTGGGCTGCATGGGCACCTCCAAATGAGCGTGGACTTTTGATTGGATTCGCTTATGCAGGTAGTGTAGTTGATTAATGAGATCTGAAATGTTATTGTATTTTTGGTGCGTTTTAGCTAGAGTTATGACACGTTACTACAGTTTGGAAATTGGGATACCCACTTTCATATCGAAACTAAATAACTTGTCCTGTCACTTTCATTTAATAAGATAGCGTTAATGCAGTGCATGTTTAGGGTGGTACGACCTGATGAACAAGTTTAAGTTTGGTGTTAGGATAAAAAAGAAGCTTTCTGGCAATTCACCACATATAGGACCACCACCAACCAAATAGTGGGCGCTTGTGACCACCAGGGTCCACCAGTTCCGGTGGAAAGGGTAATCCTCACCAGTGACATTGGCTGGTGGTGATGATATGTGACGAGAATTGACAGAAGGCAGAATTCCATCTTAGTGTCTGAATGGTTGGCTGAATTCCCTCGTATTCTTAGGGTCCTGCGTCCGGAGTGATGGCTGCCTATTGATAAGCATCCTGGACAAGGAGGAGACAGCTAAGCGGTACTTCCTAATTTCCAACGGTTCTGATAACTTATTTCACTCTGCTATCTGGCTGGAAATAGAAGTCATCTGATAAGATTTGAAATGCACTCTAAGTGTCTTCTAGATTGTGAAATGTGACATGCATATCAATGTACCATTTGCTCTGAAAAATACTTCTGATTGAGAACCGATCAAGTCGCAACAAGACTAAGCACTGTTGAGAGAAATGCATATTGACGTTAATGTTTTAAATCATCAACTACTATTTTCTCAATACATAAGTAGTGTGAGTTGTGTTTTTACGTGGTCAGTGATTAAAGATATTGTCTTGCTGATAGGTAGTAGCTTAGATTACCAGCACAGATCTCAGTCTTCGACGTTTTAGATTAAATTTGTTCCTCAATGTGATCAAGATAATTTTATAAAATAATTAAGTGCCTACTGTGGTCATTGATCCTGAGCAGTTGATTGATATGAATAATTGGAGACTACTCACACTAAATAGTAGTGCTACTTACTGGCTACATTGAAGAAATCTATAATCAACATGTCTGTTTCACACGTTTTTGACAGAGCCCATCAATGGCTCACTTGAAGTGATTCATTTGAAATGGCTGAATCATCAGCTTAAAGCCACAGGAATTCAGGTTGGCTACTTGGTCGAAGTAGTATTACATAGAATCAGTTGTGTCAATAGAGAATGACAAAATTCTAGGTGAGAACTCAGCTGTTGCCTTCATATTCCAGTCAACTACAAAGTGACAACAACTTCTTATCAATTGGTATATGAAACTGACATCAGCTTAGTTCCAGTTGTACCTAATCGAATGAACAGGAGTACAAAGTTTACTGGTGCAGAGTGAAAATACAATTTGTACTAACTATTTATCTTCTACTTCCTACTATCTTTCTCGTTTTTCTTCTCCTCCACCCCCTGTTGATCAAACGTTTTCTTCCTTTCTGTCCTGTCTGCAACTTCATCTATTTCTCAGCTTTGTTCTAAAATTTCTGTGGAAAACATCGCTTATAAGTTCTTGTTAGTAGTGCAGCCCACGCACTAGTACTGAGTATCATAAAAGTAATTCAATTTTTCGTTCCAGGTGGAGTCTAAGACTTCTCTGTCATCACTCCCTCTTGACTCCACAAATACCCAAAAGCTTTCATTTACTCTTCATATGATTTTTCCCCATGTTACCCCCGTGACTATCAGCCTGTTGCCTCCCAATTCCGGTTCTACTCTTGGGGTCAGAGAGTTTAAGAACTATTTCCGGTTGAGGGGCAAATAATGACAAACAACAAGATTTATGAATAATCCCTATCCAGACATCAATGAAAACAAACAAAACACGTAGTTCAGCGAAGAGTCTCTTTTCGGTGGCGAATTCATTCACTTATCAGCTGTACAATCGCAATTATATATACTTCTTATTTTTGTACGTGTGTGTACATTAAGTTTGTCCGATAAGAATAAAAATTAGTTAGGGTTATTGTTTATTATTGTTATTATTATTGTATCCTTTAATTCCTAGAGGAACATAGGGCTTCAGCCGTGCGTCTCCATTGCGTTCGGTTCTCTGCTAGAGTCTTCACCTGGCTCCATGTCTGCCCACACGTTTTCATCTCCTCTTCGCATGACCTCCTCCAAGTCACCCTTGCATTGACGACCAACTCGCCGCTTCCCTTTCGGCCGGATTCCACTCGAGCAATGGCTTGTCTAGTGATGTCACTTGATGGTTTCCTCAGAGTATGGCCATCCAATCCATCTCCATTTCTTCCTGCCTATTTGTTTCACAATCGGTTCCTGCAGTGTTGGTTCGCTCATTGCCAGAGATCTCTGTTGCTGATCTTTTCTGGCCGGCCATCTGATCTTGAGTTGTATTGAGCAAAGACAACTGTTAATGAAGGTCTGTAGTATGTTTGAGATGCTCTTTATGACGCGCAGTGCAAGTCTCTGATCCGTATAGTGAGTAGCACTGACTTCACATTGGAGTTGAAAATCCGGATCTTATTTTTGATGCTGAGTGTTGTTGACCTCCACACAGACTTGAGAGTAGTGAAAGCTTGTCTTTCTTTTCCTATTCTTGCTTTGATATCCTTGTCAGTTATTGTTTACATCATCAAAATGTTTCAAAAATGTGACGAGTAGTCAAATTTTAACAAGGGCAGGGGGTGAAGATTGGTAAGAGGGTAGTGTTGATGTGTTCTCAAAAGCACATAGTTATTAACACAAAAAAGAAGTTCAATAAACGTAATATAGTTACGCAATAAGATGAATAGTTTAGTGAATGAGTTGTGATTAGGATGCACACAGAAACTAAGGAAAATATGGAATTATGTAAGAGTGATAAAAATCGCAAATGTTATAAGGAGTTAGAAAAGAAAAACAAGCACACAAACATCAAATCAGTAGAAGTCAACACGGTTGTTACCATGATATAGAAGGGGTTTGATGATTTTCTTTTGTATACATAACTCTGGTTTCTCTGACTGGATGGCTAAGGCTTCAACAATACAAAGGAGATGAAAGTGTATTGCCTTTGGTAAGTCGCTCTTCACTTTGTAGATCACTTTGAAGGAGACGTTTGTTGAGATAGAATGACCAGTGTTGATGAGATGTTCGATGATCTCACTCCTATACAGTCACTATTACCTTTTTGCAGCCATACAGGACAGTGTTGTTGAACCCTTTTGGGCAGATTACGAGTCGAACGACCAATGTACCTAGCTGGCTTCACAGCGAGCCCGAATAGCTCAGTGGTAAAGTCTCTGACTGCAGCACTGGGTGACGCGGGTTCGAATCTCAGAAGGGACATGAGTTCCTTCAAGGTTGCAGATACGCCTTGCTGACGAGTGCCAACTAGCACGAAACCTAGGTCCAAGGCTTCCTGTGGCCGATTGCCTCTAACTATCTAATAACAGTCAGTTCTCTCAATAATTATTATCCGATTGCATTCCCTATAAAAGCTTCCTACTCATTTTTCTCATTATTACGTTTTTAATCAATATTTATAATCTTGTTGTTTGTCATAATTTGACCATCGACGGGAATAGTCATGACCTTCTCACCCGTTTACTATATATATATGTACGCACGAATGTCAAGCCTAGCTGGTGATTTCGTCGACAAGAATATTTCGCTTGCTGCCATCCGTCTTCTTCATGTTTCTTATTGTGAAAGAAAAAAAATTCTTTTTCCTCCATGTAGTTTGCATAATTTAAGATGAGATCATGAAATCGTGTTTTTTCTTCTTCTGTTCTTTTTGTGCATTAAAATAGGGCTTCATATTGGCAGCGCTATTGCAATGCCAATTACTGCAGCTTTGTGTCAAACATCAATTGGTTGGTCATTAGTATTCTATTTTTATGGTGAGTTACATTTCTTGTTTCCTGATGTGTCACGTTTTTGTATGCAGATTCCAGGAAATTCACAATATATCCGTGGAGTGGATATTTATAAGATGTAAATTGTTTAAATTGTGGTTTTTCATTTCCTCTTGATGATTGATTTTTACTTTGGACGGAAATACTTCGTCTCTGTTGACTCTTTCTGTTGGCTCCTGGTATTGATGCCTCAATGAGGTGGATAAATCTTTGGAGTTTGAAACGACAGATGGTGGGTTCGAGTTTCAGTGGGGATGAGTGCTCAACACGGCGAAGTAGGTGTTCTACATCCCATTCCCTTGGGTTCTGAGTGGAACACAGGACTTTATCCGTACGTCTCTATTTCATCCTGTTTTCTGTAGTTCTGTTTAGCTGGCTTCATGACTGCTCATAAGCTCTGATCCTCACACATCCTCACACGATCTCCCTCCTCTATGTCCCTCTCACACCCATGCCTAACTCGTTGTTTCCAAAGCGGGCTCCATTCAACGGCTTGGTATACGACGTCACTCAATGGTCTTCTCAGCGTGCGCCCAATCCATCTCCATTTCCTTCAGCATATATGTTTGACAACAGATTCTTGGTTGAAATAATAGAGAAGATTTGTAGCTCAGGTGGATGATTTGCAATTAATAGTGTTCTCTGGGCTGGTTGGTTTAGTTGCGAAGCTTTCGTCGTCCTTCTGGACAACATCTTCAGTGACATATTTAGCACAAGGTGAAATGATTTAAATTTCTTCATGAGTGATGTAATTGCGTCTCCTGGTAACTGTCTTTAATCAGGAGAACCAACACAGGAGATTTAGAGACACAAGTTTATAGAAAATCAACGCACACAGATCAAATACTCAACTATACTAGCAATAATCCAGTTACTCACAAACAAAACTGTATGCAGACATTGTTTAAAAGAGTTCAGACACATCGTAGCACTCCAGAGTTGAAAAGAACGGAAGAAAAGTATCTACAAACGGTCTTCAAAAAAATGGTTATCCACAAAATTTCATCAAAAAGTGTTTAAAATCGAATCACAACACCAACAAGGAACCACCATCAAAGACCACAAGAAAATTCATCCTACCACACATGAGAAATATCTCTGAAATAACAGCTAGAATACTGAAACCGTTTGAAATAGATATAGCACACAAGCCAGTCAAATCGCTTAATTCGATATTATGCAAACCGAAAGATCCAACAGAAAAAGGCGATAAGATTAATACCATTTACAAAATAAATTGTATGAACTGCAACAAGCATTACATCGGCCAAAGTGGGCGTCCCCTTCGAATTAGAATCCAAGAACACAAATCAGCCGTGAAAAGACACGATATGTATTCTTTAGTATCAATGCATATAGACAATTATGGTCATCAGTTTGATTGGGATCATGTCAAAATCTTAGACAGAGGAAACACCAAAAGTGCAGTCAGGAAATTCCTAGAAGCCTGGTACTCAAGCGAAAATGCAATTAACAGACACGTTAATATAGACGAAATATACCAACTGATAAAAAGTAAATCAGGTGACCAGAAAGTTTAAAATCCAAGTCAATAGAAAATGGTCAATACATATGTAAAGATGGTTACCAGGAGACGCAATTATATCACTCATGAAGAAATTTAAATCATTTCACTTTATGCTAAATATTACGCTGAAGATGTTGTCCAGAAGGACGACGAAAGCTTCGCAACTAAACCAACCAGCTCAGAGAACACTATTAATTGCAGATTCTTGGTTGGTTAGTTCCTACTGTTCCGTGTTGTCAGTCGTTTGTGGCTGGCCGGCAATCTGATTTTCGGTATCGAGTGAAATGGACAGCTGTTGATAAAAGTTTGCAATAGCCTGTCGGAAATGCTTTTAGTGACGTGATCGTCAAGTCTCTAAAACATACAGAATAACTGACTGACTTAACATGGGTGTTGAAAATCAGAATCTTATTCTTTATGCTGATTGTAATGGATTTCCAAACCGATTTCAGAGTAGCGAATGTTTTTCTTGCTTTTTCTAGCTGTCTTTGATCATAGGTGCCTGCGTTCTATCTCCCGTGTGAAGTGGTATAATAGGGTGAGCAATATTGAGGTTAGGCTCAGTTGAGTGCTAGGTAAGGAGGGGAAATCAATCGACGAGGCTGTGAAGCTACATCGACTGAGATGGTTAGGACATGTGTCACGTATGCCTAGCCATCATCTTCCTCGACTGACGGGCAATATTAGCTGACATAGGGTCAGGCTGGAAAAGAGCTAGCTGGTGGTCAAACCAAAACATGGCTTCATCAGTCAATGAAATCCATAACGGTTAGTTTAAGCCAGTCACGTAGGAAGGTTTAGACTTCCTGGTTGGGGTCCTTGAAACGGTAGAAACCAATGGCTGGAGACAATCGGTGATATGGCTCAAAATCTTCGTTGTCAATGGCTAGCGCAGATGCATCCACTCCTTGTGACTTATAATTTCCAATGAAACTATATTGTTCTTCGTTATTACTATTCCTTTTTCACTCTGTTACTGTCTATATTATGCATTTCTCCTACTTTCTTCTCTTGCTTTGTGTGCTACATGGAGTGTGGCGAACTGAACTGCTGCACACCGGTGCAAAGTTCTATGTTGGAAACAGACAGACTATGTTGTCTTGCTTTTCCTATCCTGCCTTTGAAATTCTCATCCGTGTCACCTATGGTTGAAACTGTGCTGCTCAAATAAGTGGGAGAAGCGGCCTCGTTCAAATTCCTTCCGTTGGTAGTGACTGATGCTTGCTGATGTTGTCGTCGTTGGTTGGCTGGTTGGTAATCTTTATCCCCTTCTCTCTCTCTTCCATTGCTAGCTACCATCAAACAAGTAAAGGCTTATACAGATTGTATTAACACTTTGTTTGATATAGAAAAATATACTAAAATATTATATAAATAAGGCAGTTGTATCTACCTTCCTTTCTTTTGTCATTACGTATCCCATGTTCACAATTTCTGAATGTACATTTTGCTTTGTACAAGACAAGGACCATTGGATCGGATCCCAGTGGCTCAATGGTCTACGAGCTTGCCTTGTAACCAGAAGGTCCTGGGTTCGAACCCTGCAGTGTGGGTGCGTACTTCTGAAGAGTCCCAAACTAGGACGAAACAGCTGTCCAGTACTCCCTACAGGTTTTCCAATGGTTCTCTAACTGATGTCAGCTCATGATGAAATCCTCCATGCAATCAAACAAAATCCCTACAAAACCAATACTTGCAAACAAAAATATGTGTACACTGTCCTGAAGACGTAGTATTCATATGTACATAGGTACTGACTGGTCTACTTTTACATCTAAATGTGTTTTGTCACAAAAAGTTATCACCAATGCTCATCGATAACACAGTTGAGTAGTTGAGTCGATGACTAGCTGGCCAGTTTACAACTCATTCGCTCATTGACTGATAATCTTAAACTTCAACCTCTTAGAGGTACACTAACCACTACATCCACTGTCATCTATGCGTCATTGTCCTTATGCACGATTTTCTTGATACACTTTTCCAAAGAATGAAGCTAAAGACAAAACAGCGTCTTAATGTGCCTGCTTTTTGAATATTCTTTTTGTGATGAAATCTGTTCAAGAGTCAACAAAGATAAGTGACTTTTGAGACTCTTCATGAGTACGCCTCCATCGGGGTTCGGGCCCTATACCTTCCACTTAAAAGGTGGATGCGTACTAATGAAGAGCCCCAAACTAGGCCGACGAAACAGCTAGCTGTCCAGTACTCCCAGCTGGTTTTCCAATAGTTCTTTAACCGATGCCAGCTCATCATGAAATCCTGTAACCAATCAAATCCCTGCAAACCATCACTTGAATAAGTAGCTTTTGTCGATTAATCTATCCTTCTATAGGTGTATTTCTTGGAAAAAACAGCCTTTTCTCGTTTGATTTACAATTTCTTCCCATCAGTGGATGTAAAATCAAGTGAATTTATAACTGACGCCTAATTTCAAATGGGATCTCAATTTACCGTGTTTTCCTATGTATATAGTCACTTAAAATTTCCTTATCACAATTATGATAATTAAGAATGTATATTTATTATTATTATTGTTCCTTTGGGTTCCTAGTGGAACATAGGGCTTCAACTACACGTCTCCACTTGCTTCTGTCTTCTGCTGTACTTTTCACCTGCATCCATGTCAGTCCACACTGTTTCAACTCTTCTTCACACGATCTCCTCCATGTCACCCTTCGACGTCCTACTCGCCGCCTCCCTTTCGGGTTCCACTCGAGCACTGGCCTGACGCGCGATGTCACCCAGCGGCCTCCTCAGCCGAGTGTCCAATCCATCTCCACTTTCTCCTGCATATTTGTTGAGCGACTGGTTCTTGTTTTGTTTGTTCCCATAGTTTCTTGTTGGTGATTCTTTCCGGCCATCTGATCTTCAGTATAGAGCACAGCGAAGACAGTTGTTGATAAAGGTCTGCAACAGGCTGTTGGAAATATTCTTTGTGACCCGCCAAGTTTCTGATCCATCCGTATAGAAGAAGTGACTGACTTGACGTTTGTATTGAAAATCCGAATTTTGTTGTTGATGCAGGCTGAGTGACAGTGGAAGATTTCCAGATTGGTTTCAGGTTGATGAATGTGTTTCTCGCCTTCCCGATTCTCGATTTGACATCGTCGTCCGTTCCTCCTGTAGTTGAGACAATGCTCCCTAGATAAGTGAATGAAGTAACCTCTTTCAAATTCCTCCCGTTGATGGTGATTGGCGCTGGATGTTGCTGCTGCTGTTGTTGTTGTTGGTTGGTTATTTTCATAACCTCCGTCTTGTCTATGTTCACCTGGAGTCCTGTCTTTGCTGCTTCTTCGACCAGTTTATCGGTTTTCGCTTGTAAGTCTTCGATTTTGTGTGACATCAAACACGAACCATCCGCGAAATCCAGGTCTTCTAGGTTCTTCACGTCGGTCCAGGATATACCTGCCCTCTCGTTCCCCACTGTCTGACGCATAATCCAGTCCACCACAATTAGGAATATCATTGGTGATAATAAGCACCCTTGTCTGACTCCTGTGTTTACTCCAAACCCCTCGCTGAGTTTTCCGTTGTGGATCACTTGACATGTGCCGTTGCCGTACAGCTGTTGAATAAGGCTGATGAATATTTGGGGTACGCCGTAGTCCTTGAGTAGTTTCCAAATTACTTCACGGTCAACGCTGTCGAAGGCCTTCTCAAAGTCTATGAAGCTGAGGTAGAGGTTTGATTGCCATTCCATGTTTTGTTCGATGATGATGCGTATAGTTCACAATTTGGTCAGAACATGATTTGCCTTTCCTGAATCCAGCTTGTTCTGGTTGTCGGAATTCTGTATCCAGTGCGTCCTTTATTCTCTCCAGGATGATGCGACTCAGGATTTTACTTGGCGTCGACAGGAGCATGATTCCTCGCCAGTTCTTGCAGAGTCCTAAGTCGCCCTTCTTTGGTAGTTTCACTAGGTAACCTTTCCTCCAGTCAGTAGGCACCTTTCCTTCCTTCCAGACGTTTCGCAATAAAGAATGTGTAGGTTTTTTTTAAAAATCTAAGTCAATGAGCTATCCATCTTTTGCTTTTCAAGACAGACATAGGACTTTAGTGGCGCATCTCCACTCTACTTGGCTGTTAGTCATCACTTCCAAGTGGCCCTGCAGCTGCCCACAAGCTTTCATTTCTTCTCCACATGATCTTTTCCATGTCATCACATCGTACGCTCAATTTGTTGCTTCCTATTCGGGTTCCATCCTAGGGCTTGACTTGTAAGTTCACACACCAAGATCTCCCCAGCGTGTGTCCAATTCATCTTCATTTCTTTCTGCATGTTTGTTGTACAGCAGGTTCTGGTCTGGTTTGCTTGATACCACAGTTCCTTGTTGCTTATTCGTACTATTCATCTGATCTGTTGATGTACATCTGCAGTGTGTAATGAATACCTGTAGCAAACTATATAATATTTTTGAAGAGATAGTTTGTAGGGATTCGATCCCTTTCAAGTTTGATGACGGATTGATATAACTTAAAGAACCATTGAAAAACACCAGGGAGTACTGGTTAGCTGTTTTCTCCTAGTTTGGGATTCGTCCTCAGTATGCCCTCATGACCCACCAGGTCTGGTGTTGGGGCAAGCACTTACCGACTACACTGGCTGGCGGTTGTGCTTAAGTCCTGAATTCACAGAAGTTAGAATATCTGGGCCATTGGATTTCGTCTCAGTCGCTGAATAGTCTCAGTGGACTTGCCTTGCAACTTGAAGGTCCTGGGTTCGAAACCCGGTAGTAATATATTTGTGGATAGACTTCTCTAATTTGTCTCTTATATCTTATATCTCTTCATTATATGATTTTTATTCTCTTTTTTTTTCTTCTGAAAAACAGGCGCTATTAGTTTTGCTTATTGTATTGTCTGGTTTATATTTGTCTACGATGAACCTAAACTACATCCAAGAATATCTACTAAAGAAAAACTTTATTTAGAATCCTGTTGTCCAGTAATAAAAAAGAGGAGTGGAAAACAAAAAGTAAGTATTCAGTATATGATATTTAAAGATTAAGCAGAGGTAGTGTTGTTTTTTTAAGAGAAAAGGACAAGAAGTGCAGACAAGAGACAACTATCTTTTCAGCGATTTTATTCTTAAACGCAGCTATACAATAGCATTTATATACATATGTTTATTAGTGTTCCCTGGGGTTCCGTGTGGAACATAGGGCTACAACAACACATTGCCACTTTGTTCCATCTTCTTCTGTCCTCTTTAGCTGGGAGAACAATTGCCCTTAATCTCTCATCTCCCCCTAGCCACACCATCTCCCCCATATCACCCTCTCATTGACGATCAACTCGTTGCTTCCCATTCGGATTCCACGCTAGCCTGGCGTGCGATGTCATTCGACTGTCTCCTTGCCTTAGTTTACTAGTTCACCATTTTTCTAGCCGGTCCCAAACCCGGGAAAAGAGAGACGGTTGGGCGTAGGGCTAGCGACCCTACCTCAGAAAGTCAGTTAAACTGACACAGGAACTTCAACGCACAAGAAAAATATTTTTTAAGAATACAAAATACATATATATGTCCAAACTAAGTTCTCATTTAGCAATTTGAAAAAATTTGGGCATTGGGTATATGATATTCATTATAATAAAGGTTTTTGTATTTCCCAATGAATGAAAAACAATATCGTTTTGTTTTTACTGACATTTCGCTATTTAATGCTGCTGATAGCTTTATAAAAGTATTATTAAACCGGAATTTACAAAATCTCAGCATATACATATAACAAAGAGTTAAGGGGTGAGAAAATAGACTACTTAGGTCAAGTTAAAAGGACATATTGGAAGTTAAAATAACAATGAAGATCACTAAACCAAATAACAAAGGTAATGGTACATCTGTTATGGTATTAAAACAAAGTTTACTAACTTGATCATCGTTCGTTAGTCCGGGGTCATTTTTCGTTATCAAGTTGGTCAATTGGTAAATATAACAAAATCAAAATCAAGTGTAGATTGTTGGATTTGATCAGTGTTTAAAATTATAAAGGTAGTGTGTGTTTACATAGTGAACTTGCATATCACATTCGTGTTGATTTTGTCACTTCATGGGGGATGGAGGTGTTGTAACCAGGTCAGATTCTGTTTTAGTCCATCATTCCCATTCAGGCAATTTGGATTCCACGTGATATGAAGTGCTTCTGATATTAGACATTCTTTATGATTTGTGAAGTTTTTCTGGATTATTTCAATATTGTCAAAATCAATTTTGTGATCTGATTCTGTAGCATGTAGACCTATGGTTGATGATTTTTCACGTTTTTCCAGTTCAATTGGATTTCTCGGTGGTCGAAGAGATGCTCTACGGTGTTCATTTCTTCTGATTTTGATTTCTCGAGATGTTTGTCTGATATATATCGCATCACATTCCAAGCATTTTATTTTATAGACACAATTAGATAGTGAATCTTTAGGGATCTGGTCTTTTATAGAGCACAGACGTCAGATTATATCAGAAGAGTACTCAATCAGCTCGACATTAGAGTTTTCTTCAAAACATCAGACACAATACGAAACAACCTTGTCCATATAAAAGACCATATAACAAAATACATATCTTTACACAGATAGAGTTATAATTTAATGTTACATAATAACAAAGGAGATTAAAAGTGCAAATAATTTCCAACTTGATATGAAAGTTCGAAGGTGAGAATATCGATTACAAGGGGTTAAGAAACAAAATTACACAGGATTAGAATGCGATGAGCATGGAAACGGATTGCAAGAATTGGTTTTTATAACTGAAATTAGAAAAAGTGAAGGGAATGAAACAGACACACAAAGAAAAACGAAAACTAGGGGGTCGAAACGAACTAGATTCACGGTAAGTTTCTTTTAAACAGATAGCTCTGGCTTTTCGATGCATTTGGCGACAGCTTCTGTAGTTTAAAAAAGTCGGAAACACATTGCCTTTGGTAGAGTTTCGCTCGCTTTGTAAATGACTCTGAATGATTGGCAGTCAGTTAAGATGAGGTGTTCAATTATAGCACTTCTGATTGGAACAGTGCCTTCTGTTTTCAACCATGCTGATCAGTGTTCTCTGACACTTTTTGAAAGGGCTTACATAGAACGACCTATATACCCAGCTTCGCACAAGCAAGTGAACTGAAATATGCATATTGAAGTTTGTCCTTCACATTGCTTAGAAGCAGAGGGCAGCTGGGGAATATCACTCTTAGAGTTGCTGTCAGAAAGTTCTTCTATAGGGAACTAGAGATTCTCCTTTTGAGGATATCTGCAGCTAAGTCTCCACTGAAGTCCAGATTCAAATTTAGTTTTTTCCTTGCAATTGGAGTATATTCGTATATTTTTGGCTTTGATGTCATGTTCCTCTCCACGAAATGTGTCTATTCCAGGATTACTACTGGTTACTAAACTGGACTTGGTGGTTTCGGAGTACGTCAATGAGGAATCGTACCCTGACCTCCTGTGTGTCTGAAGAGCAATCTACCTCTGAACCACTAACTCACATGTGATACAGATAGATACACCCTTCTGTTCTATTTTTGACTGCTAATCAAATACTAATTCATCTCAATCAAAAGTTCTACACCAGACCAGACTGTGACTGGATAAATTAGATTGGAGCCTTTGACCAGCAATCCACGTTGACATATGGGTATACACACCATCAGGCACTTGCCCAGTTCATGATTTAAAGTGCGTGTTGATAGATACAAATGCCAACCTTAGGACAGACGCAGCTACAGGATATCCAGTAGCTGGAATATGCGTTCAAGATGTTATTGTTCAAAGTGGTATGCAGTTCACATTAGTTCACACGGTTGGCTGCACTCTTCATTGATACACGATCCAAGCGATGTGCCGCTCAAAAATGATTACTTTATTATTAAAGTTTGGATGCATTTCTCTGTTTAGAAAGAGGAAATGATGCCAAGATGATTGTGAACATAAAAATCGAATTCATCTTCAAGTGTTAGTTCTCAGGGATTTGACTGATTTCAATTCTGATTACAAATTGACTTCAGTTAAAGAATCATTCAGAACCAATGAGAGATGGATAACCGTTTCGTCCTTTTTTGAGACTCCTCACCGGTACTCACCCATGGCCGCACCAGCTATCGGACGCAGGACCTTCACGTCAAAAGAGAGATCGTATATCACTCAGTCACTACGATGGAATCCAGCCGGCGGCCGATCAATTCTAACTTCTGCCAGTGATACTAGTGTTCACCAGTGAGTCATTACAGGCTGAAGTTGCCTGAAGTACTGGTGGGAGGTCGTGATCAGAGATGTTCAATAAGTTGGGTGTATGGACAAATACTCACCTATGACACTAGGGTGACAGTCATGCTACATAGTGAACTGCCAGAATCTAGAAGTGATGAACCATTGGATTCCGTCCAAGTGGCTGTATAGTGTACAAGTTCGCTTCGTAACCTGAAGGTCCTGGTTTCGACTATTTGTGGGGTCATGGGTGCACAATGTTGAAGAGTTCGAAAATGGGACGAAACAGTGGTTTTTGGACTGATATCATTACATGATCTAAATTGAAATCAGTGAAATTCTTGCGAGGCTAAACCTGAAACTAAAACTATAAGTTTACTAGGATTTGAATATAATTACCTCATATGTATTCGAGTAACTCATAAACATAGACGAGACTGTTTAACCCTTTAGGTTAGTATGAGTGGGTTTCTGACTACCAACATTAGTTATAATGCAAGAGCAGATTTTTACCTCACTTGAATGATTCTGGTGAGTTGGTAGTGGGGTGACAGAGTTCTCACCAGCCACACATGGGTTCCAGGTTCGATTTCTGGTAGACTCACACCTAAACTCCGATTGGCCAGCAGTAAACCCGGTAGAGAAGGAAGATCAGGCATGAAGCTAACCAAATCGCCCTTAAGAAAGCACCATCGCTGCTGAAATTTCAAAACTCAATTTTGAAGTCTTATGTTCCACTCAGAATGCAAAGCAATGAAGAGGAAAGGATGATTCTAGTAAAGTTAGAGTTGAAAATACCGTCTAGAAATGCAGTGAAAGCCTTCAAATTATAAAACGGCCTATGCTCAAATAAATGTAGAACAAAATTTTAGAAGTTATGGGGAAAGTTTAACAGTTATTCTGAGGTTATCGATTAATTTACCCGTATCTCTGGAAGCCATTTATCTATTGAATGTGACAGTTAGCGAAGCATGTACCAAAGTTGGAAAGCTGATATTTTGGGCTTCCTTAAGCGTCCTATATATCACGAATTGACAGGAATTGGAATTCATGGGCTGGCCATTGGATCGAATCGCAGTGTCTTAATGGTCTACGAGCTCGCTCACCTTGTAACCAGAAGGTCGTAGGTTCCAACCCTTGCGGTGAGTTTGTACTGTGAAGAGTCACAAACTAGGCTGATGAAACAGCTAGCTATCCAGTACTCCCAGCTGGTTTTCTAATGCTACTCTAACCGATGTCAGCTCATGATGAAATCCTTCTGTGGTGAGAGCTGGCTGCTAGACAAAGTTGGTAGACAGTAATTGACGTCAATGTTTATGTCCCCAATATTGGTGGTGGGAAAATGAGAACAAAGGCTTTGCGTAGGCGGATACAGTTAGCATATAGATGATCTGACACAGCCACAAAGAGACGCAAGGTTAACTTTCTGTGAGAAACAACGAATCAAAAGGCTGTATCTTACTTATACTAACAATAATCTACAATAATGTACATTAAAATCTATAAATATGTGTTGATTCTCCTTAATAAACGGTCTGTTGCCTGGCCCTTGTCTTCTGTTGTTACACTTCAACCATCCTTATACCAAACGAGTTTATTTGACATAACACATTGTAATTATTATTATTCTCTTAGGCTTCGATTGGAACATAGGGCTTCAAGTGAAAATTTCACTTTCATCCGGCTGTCTGTAGCCTTTTTTTAGCTGGCTTCACGATGGTGACACGGTACTAATAACTGATCAGTGATTCGAGCACAGTTTATTGCTCCTAATCATATCAATGTATCCCCATGAAATTATAGTCTCCTTTATACAGCCTGACTGCCTCGTGTTTCTATTACAGTTTTCCATTTAGCCGGAATGTCTTGTGCCATTCCGACTGCACGTATTTGATGTTGACTCAATGAACAAAATGTTCGGCGATTAACCTGTCTCTTTGCCCACCTAATTATATACTCTGTTTTTAATACTTCTATCTTATCGCATTCTATTATGTAATTACACGCAAATGAATGAGTTGTAGTGGCTGAGCTTTCTTCGAAATTACTTCACTTAGCAGGGCCAATCATTCTGAGTTCAGCTAAACTCCTGCATTCTTGTAACCTAACTAGTAGATCAATGTCAGTTAAGCAACATTTATCGGTTGATTCGGGTCCCAGTGATCAAATGACCTGTGAGATCAACTTGGAACCAAGTGCTGAAGAATCTTGAACTAGAAGTAAGCAGCTGTTCAGTTCTTCCTAGTTTCCCAGCGGTTCTCTAACTGATATCAGCTCATGTGCGTTGGCGGCACAGTGGTTAGGACTCTCGCCAACCATGCACATGGTCCGAGGTTCGATCCCCCGCCGACGCACACCTGATATCTATGGTCGGCCTGCTAAATTTGGGCTGCCGATATCACATGCTGAAAATTTCATACTTGTACCAAAATACTGTGTGGATTCAAGCTATAATAAAATATAAAAAAAATAAATGACCAAATCCGTTGTTAAACAGCCTAATGCCAGTTTCACCATGCTTGATTAACTCGACGTTATTTAGGAACTTGTTTCATATATTCTCATCAACTGATTAATGGAATTTACTTATAAAAAATTATTTTCATGATTTAAATTTTTTTATAATTTCATTTATTTATTTATTTAAAAATTAATTTTTTTTAAATTTCATAGATTCCACTAAAATCTATTTTAACATCATTGCCGGTTTGGGCGTTTGTTGCTGTCAACACGGGATTAGACTGGAATCTGTATACATTTCTGACTAGTGTACCAACGTATATGCGTGAAGTACTACAGTTTGATTTTCAGCGGGTATGTTTATTCTTTTGCTTTTTTTTTGGTTTCTGAATTTTCTTTTTTTTTTGTGAAGAAGGTAATCTGTTTTCTCCTTTTTATGCTCACTTTACAAAAAGCAACTGAATGTTTTCGATAATATAGATTCCGCTTCCAGCTGACAATAAGTGGTCTGTTTGATACTATATATGGCGATTAGAAGAACAAGCGAAAATACTGTCTGACGCATAATCCAGTCCACCACAATTAGGAATATCATTGGTGATAATAAGCACCCTTGTCTGACTCCTGTGTTTAATCGAAACGCCTCACTGAGTTTTCCGTTGTGGATCACTTGACATGTGCCGTTGTCGTACAGCTGTTGAATAAGGTTGATGAATATTTGGGGTACGCCGTAGTACTTGAGGAACGGACGAGGATGTCAAATCGAGAATCGGGAAGGCGAGAAACACATTCATCAACCTGAAACAACCAATCTGGAAATATTCGTCACTCCTCAGCATCAACAACAAAATTCGGATTTTCAATACAAACGTCAAGTCAGGTCAGTTCTTCTATACGGATCAGAAACTTGACGGCGGGTCACAAAGAATATTTCCAACAGCCTGTTGCATACCTTTATCAACAAGTGTCTTCGCTCTATACTCAATATCAGATGGCCGGAAACAATCACCAACAAGAAACTATGGGAACACACAAAACAAGAACCAATCGCCCAACAAATATGCAGGAGAAACTGGAGATGGATTGGACACTCGCTGAGGAGGCCGTTGGGTGACATCGCGCGTCAGGCCATCGCTCGAGTGGAACCCGAAAGGGAAGCGGTGAGTGGGACGTCCAAGGGTAACATGGAGGGGATCGTGTGAAGGGGAGTTGAAACAGTATGGACTATTATGGATGCAGGTGAAAAGTACAGCAGAAGACAGAAGCAAGTGGAGACGTGTAGTTGAAGCCCTATGTTCCACTAGGAACCCAAGGGAACGATAATATATTAATAATAAAGTCTGCTCACTAATTGATATGACATTAGTTAGACAACCACCAAGTCGCATAAGAGAACGGTTGCTCTTCGATGACACTGGCTGGCGGTTGCGATTTTTGTATGGCGAATTGGAAGAAGTTGGAATTCATGGGACACTGGATAGGCTCTCAGTGGCTGAATAGTCTATGAGCTCGTCTTGTAACAGGAAGATCCTAGATTTTTAACCCCGGTGGGTGCGCCCTGATGAAGAGTTCCAAATGAGGATGAAACAGCTATACAGGACAACGATGTTAATTCGTGAGCAAACTTGTAGCTAATCGAATCCTCACAAACCAACACTTGATGGATAATTGATATAAGTAGATGGACATCATGGTTGCTGACTAGTAGTGCTGGCCAACTTTTTTTTATTCCTTCATGTTCCCAGTGGAACATAGGGTTTCAAGCCAGTGGCTTGAAGTTTCTGTAGCAGTATTTATTTTACAGGATGGGGTTGATAGCCTCATGCCCAACCTTTCCTCTTTACCAGCTTTATTTCTGGCTTAGCGAGGTAAAGGAGTGCTGTGTCGGCCGGGGATCGAACCCCGGACCATGTGCATGGTCGGCGGGCGTCCTAACCGCCATGCCACCGACGCTGGCCAACCTGCTAGATCAAAATCATCTAAACACCGGACTGTTATTTAAGTCTTTTGGCGGTGTACCCGGTTCGCAAACTGATTCAAGTCTCTGGCCACAACGCTGATGAAGTAGATGTTCGGTGTTTACAGCACTTCTACCTGGCTGGATGGTGAGCACTACTAGTTGACTTGAGTGCTTTTCTACTCCATTTATCAATCAATAAGTAGGATATACTGTTATTCTATGTCTTGATATATCTGGTATTTTCTAGTTTTGCAATTGAAAACGTGTCTTCCCCTGTTTAAAATTAATTATTATGATGAATCTGAATCTATGTTGATTTCATTCCCCGCTCGTGTCTGTCCTTTTCGTCGGTTAGAGTTTCAGATCAGTTAGATGAACAAAATGACATTCTACATGATCGAATCTCAATACTATTCATCATAAATCAGTAACTATAATTAGACAGCTTTGAATGGGATGTCCCTTGAGTATCGTTCCTTTTACTAATTATTACTCACTTAGAAGCCGATGAACTGGGCTATGAAGTTATCGATGGTAAGAAAACAAAAACGCTTCCTGGAGTCTTCGTATCATTTTTGTTCCTTTAGATTCCGAGCGGAACATAGAACTTTAACAGCACACCTTTATTCCGTCCTATTCTCTGAGGTCCTCTTTAGTTTGCCCCACGATTATCCATAGTCTCTCATCTCATCCTCGCCATACAATCTCCTCCATGTCACCCTCAGGCCATGAGCAATTCATCGTCTCCCATTCGAGTTCCACTCAAGCAATCACCTTGCGTCTGGTGTCATCCGACGTCTCCTCAGCATATATCCGAGCCATCAGTTTCCACTTTTTTCGGCATATTTGTTGAGCAAAAGGTACTTGGTTGGTTTGTTCACATAGTTTCTTGTTACTCAACCTTTCTGGCCAGCTATCTGATCTTCAGTATTGAGCCAGCGAGGCGGGCAGCTGTTAATAAAAGTCTGTGGTGGCCTGCTGGAAATGCTTTTTCTGACGTGTAGTGCAAGTTTCTGACCAATATAGAAGGACTGACTGTCTGAGCATTGGTGTTGAAAATCCGAATTCGGTCGTTTATGCTGAATGCAGAAGATTTCCAAACTGGTTTCGGAGTGATGAAGGTCTGCCTTTAACTTTCCGATCCTGACTTGTTTTGATTTCCTAATTCATAGTGCCACATGTAGTTGAAACGACGTCTCCTAGCCAGATAAGTAAAGAAAGTGACCTGTTTCAAATTTATTCCATTAATAGTGATTGGTAGTCATTCTTGAATATATTAATAAATGTAAGAGTACTATATGCACAATATGGTAGAGTATAATCGGTGGCACAGTGGTTAGGACTCTCGCCGACTATGCACATGGTCCGGGGTTCGATCTTCTGCCGACACACACCCGATATCTATGGTCGGCCTGTAAAATGTGAGCTACCGATAGCCATGCTGAAAATTCCATACTTGAACTGAAAATACGGTGTGGCAGCAAGCTGTAATCAAAATAATAAATAAATAATCACTTATGACACAGGTTTGCTTGACATATATCTATATATCACTAAATGATACAGTGTTGTCTAGCTGGATGACTACGTTCCAAGCCTAATTTCTTTGCACATAATCATAATGTCAATATATAATCACATGACTTCTTGACTTGCTTTTTTATAGTTTTTTCTGTATTCCATGTTATTTTCCTCATGTAATTTTCTGTATTTCTGGGATAATTGTTGCCTAACTGACATTGATCTACTAGTTGGGTTACAAGAATGCACGAGTTTAGCTGAACTCAGAATGATTGGCCCTGCTAAGTGAAGTAATTTCGAAGAAAGCTCAGCAACTAAAACGCATTCATTTGCGTGTAATAACACAATAGGATGGGGTGAGATAGAAGTATTAAAAACGTTGTATATAATTAGGTGGGCAAAGAGACAGGTTAATCACCGAACTTTTTGTTCATCAAGTCAACATCAAATACGCGCAGTTGGAATGGCACAAGACATTCCGGCTAAACGGAAAACTGTAACAGAAACACGAGGGAGTCAGGTTGTATAAAGGAGGCTATAAATTCATGGGGATACATTGATATGATTAGGAGCAATAAATTGTGCTCGAATCACCGACCAGTTATAAGTACCGTGTCACCATCGTAAAGCCAGCTGAAAAAAGGACTACAGACAGCCAGATGGAAATGAAATATGCTATTGAAGCCCTATGTTCCAATCGAAGCCCCAGAGAATAATAATAATCACATTGTTTTATGTTAGAAAAATTTTTCTCGTATAAGGATGGTTGGAGGATTTCATCATGAGCTGACATCAGTTAGAAAATCATTGGAAAGCCAGCTGGTAGTACTGGATAGCTAGCTGTTTCATCAGCCTAGTTTGGGACTCTTTGCAATACGCACCCACCACAAGGGTTAGAACCTACGATTTTCTGGTTACAAGGTGAGCGAACTCGTAGACCATTCAGACACTGGGATCCGACCCAGTGGCCAGCCCATGAATTCCAACTTCTGACAATTCATGACATAGCGCGACCACTTCGCAATGTCTTCTTCGGTGGGTTACTGCCTCATCTTCAACCTGCTGTACCCAACTGGTCACGGCTTCCCACTAGTATTTCAGATAACTTGCTAAATAGGCCCAGTCGCTAGTGAGCATCAGATTAATTTTCAAGTATTGGTTTTATGGGGATATTTTTGTTTGATTGGTTGGAGGATTTCATCACGATCTCATATCAGTTAGAAAATCACTGGAAAACTTGGGAGAACTTCTAATGGTTCTCTAACTGATATCAGCTCATGATGAAATCCTCCAACCAATCAAACAAAAAATCCCGACAAAAACCAAAACCTGATAACATAAAGTTGTCCAATAATAGTCATAATGCCATTATAAGGAATGCCAAATTAAATCTGTATAAAGGACTTGGATGCCTCAAGTGTATTTCTGTAAATCAACTTCAACTGGCTCACATAATCTCATCAGCAGATCAACTTTCATCTGCTTAACGTTTCTGTAATTTTGTATTTTTGTTATCGCAGAGTTAAAATTTGTCTACACTACTTTTTGTCTTTTTATTTGAGGATTTCAATGTATTTTCGTAGTAATCACAATTAGGCATCAATTGTTGACGTGGAAAAAAATATGCTTCAGCAAAAAGCAGTAGTGTAAACAACCTCTAGAATGCCTTGAAAGGCGTATCACTGACTGGGAAATAACACTGAAAGCATTCTCACCGAAGTACATAACTACTACTACTATTACTAATGCTAATACGCACAGTTACATTTCTCATTATTACACTAAAACCCAAAAGATCAGGAATCATACTAGAAAACGACCAGATATGATTATGAAGAGGGAAAATAACTAACCGAAGAAGGTATCTGATGTC